ATTTCACTTTCCAACAGGACTTGGCACCTGCACACAGTGCCAAAGCTACCAGGACCTGGTTTAAGGACCATGGGATCCCTGTTCTTAATTAGCCAGCAAACTGGCCTTAACCCTATAGAAAATGGTCGGTTCACGAGAAGTGACTTTGGCGAGCTTCTTTATGCACACGGCTGCATGAAAGGCACCCGAGCTTCTTCCTGCTTATCTCGGTCTCCACAGACAGAGATAAGCAGACAGGTGAGAACAGGAACAGGTGCGCGTCACATATTGGCCCCTGCAGTTTATTTACATTACTTTATATTTACTCATTTGGCAGACACTTTTATCCAAAGTGACTTACATTTGAGGATATTTAGTGCCATATAAACTGAGCCTGAGTCAGGGAGTGTTACACCAGGAATCCACTGGCTACGGCGCCTTACGGCTGCGTCACGGTTTTGATGCGTCCTCAGCCCGCCGCCAAAGTCCACTGGAAGCATCTCACAAGCGTTTCAGCAGTGCTGCTTCTACCTTCTCCACAGCTCTCTGTGACCCCGTTTCCTTCCGCAAACTTCAGGCTGCATTTCCCAGAAGGAGAATTTCAGAATCAGAGCGTTTAGCCTGATTTTTGCTGACCTGTTTAGATTTTGTTGATTTGGTAATCAGTGTTTGCTTTTTGTGCTTCTACTACGGTTAAGGAGGCTGCGTAGTTAAATGATTTCTTTTTGTTTGTTTAACAGTTTTCATTGTTGTTTTACGATCAGGAGCCTCCACAGGGTGTTTTATTTAGAAAATTGACCGGATTCTCTTTGCCGTTCTGTGTCTGACTTCCTGCCTGGTTCGCCAGCTTTCAGCCGCAGTTGCTGCAGTCAGTGGACTTTAGGGGTGAGGATGGGGACAGCCTGAACGAACATAATACAGTAAAATACATTATACAGTAGACAAAAGATAAAAATCAAACAATCGATTGAACAAGATGAGCAGATAAAATCTAAAAATGGATGATACGGTTATCGTTGGTGGGACCAGCGTCAGTGTCGACAGTGTTGGTTTTCAATAAGCCGGCTCTTAACATTTCTCTTAAATGAGTAAAAGGATGGTGTTTCTCTGATTGATGGTGCTTCTGAGTTCCATTGATGTGATGCTGTGACTGAAAAGACGGCCCGGCTGCACCTCTGTTAACTCTGGTTGATTTGAAGTTGATGAGGCCAGAGGAGTGCAAAGGAGGACGAAAGCGTGAACATAAAACCAGCTTCAAAGGAAAACATGTTTAAAAGTTTGTCCCTCCCTCTTCACTGGGCTCAACATCAACAAGTCATTAATATCAGTTCTGTGTATCATGAACTCAAAGGATGTCGTCTCTGGCTGGTAGTATTACATCAGACCCCTCCCGTGTTTTATTTGAAGAAGTCCCGCAGGTTGGACCGTGTCCGACAGTTAATCAGAGTTTGTGTTCTCAGTAGGCCTCAGGTCTCCAGTGGAGACGCCACTCTGAATGTAAATGTGAGCTGCTGCATTTATGATGTCTGATGTTATATATGTTTGAAGTATTTGTTGTATGGTTTGGTCAAATAATTTGTTCTGTATGTGAAACAGTGTAAATGCTCGAACACAAGACACATTTCAGACCAATATTATGATAATAAAGTGAAATCAAATCTGGATTTTAAATTTTATTTTTTATCTTAAGACTTTTGATATTCCTTAAGTAACCCGTTCTAGTGTCTCTTCCAATTATTTCCTGTTTCACCACAGCGAGCCAAGACACCTTCAGAACTGAGATGCTTAAAAAAGTTGGTGTCCAGCTTCAATCCAGTATTAACCCCACATGGAGCTGATTAAACAGCCGGGCTCTTGATCCCTCTGCTCTCCTCTGAGTGTTGATACTTTGCTGTGAACCGTCTTCATGTCTGAGCGCCTCACACCTGAAATGCTGATGTAGAGTAAACTCTAATTATCCTGAGGTCAGATGAGCGAGCAGGATTTCATCTGTAAAGCTGCTGAGTCAGCTTTTTCTCAACTACTGCAACTTGAACTTTTAATGTGTAAAACATCAGAGGGCCGGACTTTATTTAGGAGAACTGGTTCCATCACACGTTCACCCTGTCGGTTTATTATAAAGGTGCAGTAACTCTGTTGGACCCGGATCTGTGTAACGTCATTCTGTTGTTCATCTTTTCCCACGTGCAGTTGTTGCAGGACCTCGGCTCGGTCTCGCGGCTGCGACGGCTCCAGGAATCATTAAAAAGTGATTATGAGGGAGCGAACACAGCGAGCAGCCGCCATCTACCAGCCAGCCAGGAGTGAAATAGTCTGCAGCTGCTGCTCGCTGCTCTGTTAGGCGGGTAAGTGAGCCTGGAAGCTCAACGTTTTTAATGCTGAAATCATTCAGTTGAAATGCAGTGCACTTCCTGTTTGGACAATAAAATACCTGTTTGATTGAAGGCTGGTTTTATTCAGAGACGGCTCGTGTTGAGTTCAGCTTCTGTCAGTGATTCCTGTCTGTTGCTGTTATTGGCTAAGGTTTACATCATTTGGCTGCTCACTTTCAGTTTGCTGGATGATTACAGATGAATAAAACCCATCTGGACGAAAGCATGTTCTGTCTGAAAGGTTTTGTAACTTGTTTCTCAAGTTCCAGCTAAGTTTCCTGGCAGGCAAAGTTGAATATGGAGCAGGCTGGACGCAGCCAGGCTTTCTTTGCATCAGCTGGCTCCATGAAACCTTAATAACTCTTTGTTTACCCGGGTTTTTGTCATCAGGCTCCCATTAAAGGGGAAATTTGATGCGTCATGCGATTCTTCTTCTGCACAAAATGGACCAATCGCGTGCCGCCTACTTCAGTCAAGAGGAACAGGTGGTCATGATGGAGAGCTGGGAAGAATATAAAAAATGCTGCTGCAAATAAGGCAGAAAATTCACTCTCAGAGCCTCACGATTATTTAAAGGACAGCTGCACATCCAGCTCTCACACTGTAAACTTGACACGTTTAGATGTGGTACTTAAAAAGTGGATTTAGGTCTGACACTGTCCCATCATGAAGGACAAATCAATCATTAAAGTGAAATTAAATGTATTGATTTAATATCTGTGATGTAACACAATAACTTCCCATCGGTGATAAATGCTGAGCCTTCGTTATTCTTTTAGCGTTGAGATGATGGGCTGTGTTAATGTTACCTGAAGCAAACGGGGAAAATTATTTTCTCCATCACCAATTGAAGGCGTGCAGGTTCCCGTGGAAATGTTCTCGCCACAGTAACCGCACGGCTTCTTTCGGTGGCATTAACATCCAGCTCAGCAGGTTTGCAGATGTAACGTGAACTGAGCTTTCACAAACTTTAAATTCAAGCGTAAAGCTTATTTGCATTAATATGTCAAGCTTGTAGATTCTTTCTTGGTGTATTTCCTATTTGATGATGTCTTTAAAATTGTATTTTTTGTGTTTTATTACCTTTAACAGTAAGAAAACCAAACCTGCATGTAGGGATTGTGAAACTGCCCATTGTCGTTGTAAAGAATAAACAAAAGAACAATAATTTATTAAAAGGTTTCCCTTAAAGACTGATTTCACTTGAAACACAAGGAAACCCATCAAACCTGCCAGCTGTTATCTGATTCTACAAAAGCTCATTTCGAGTCAGAGAAAACTCACTTCAAACATCATCGTGTTCGTGAACAGATTTCTCTGCATGTGAATGTTTTCCTCATATATTCAAGGGCATTTGGACGAGTCATTGTGAGCTACATGTTGCCAGAAGCAGCCTTAAAAAAGCTCTGTGGGTTTGTGGAGCATAAGAACAACAGCTGGAGTCACCTGCAGCAGCTGTACAGCACGCTGGCGCGATGCAAGGCCAGGGAGGAGTTTGTCTCCGTCATCAGTTGTTGTGGAGGATATTATCAGAAAAGCTCCCAGCTCCCCACACATGAAGGTTTGAATGCACGTCTGACACGTGTTTACTGGCCCTGAAGGCTGCGGCCGTCATTCACCCGACTGATGACAACCTGCTGTCGCCGGAGAATAAATGTCCGAAGAGGAACGCAGTAACGGGCCTTCATCCTTCTTTCTCCCTCACAAAAAGAAGCGGAGGACGACGGCTCGGCAGGTTCAAGCTGCAGTGAAGTTTACTGTGAAAGTATTTCTCATAAATTTCTGAGGTTTATGTTGCTGCCGTTTTTTCCTGTGTGAAGAAAATAGTTTGTAGTTAAAGTTTCTTCAGGGTGCTGTTCAACCCTCCTGTGTGTCGTTGACACTGTTTGTGGGTCCCACAGATGTTTGTGTGCTCTTTAAATAAGTAAGTAATATTTCTTTATTAAAGCCCAACATGTAGAAAACTAATGAAGAGGTAAATCTTTCTTTTGACACAAACTGAACTTTCGCATTGTTATTACACAACGTGAGGAAGTGTTTCATGTTTAATCTTATATTTTTTTATGTATTAACAAAAGTGTTTTCCTTTTGTTTGCTGAAAAAAACATTCAGAGAGATATAAACAGACAACCAGATCCTGGATTTTAGATTCTGGAGCATTTTTCCCCAGCTGTACCAACAATCAAGCAAACGTGTTTCACACCAGCAAATTTACGTCACGCCACTTCCTTTCAGACTGCAGCCGAGATGGCGTATGTGTTCCCCCGATGCCTGTTTGTGCATATTCGATACGTACCCAGGAACCTTTTGCATGCACTAGTTTCTCGTTCGTGCCTCGTTGTCGCTAATTTGCATCACACCTGAATTTATATCTTTTCTATGCTCTATTGACAAATTAACAATCTCCTCTTAATTTAGCATCAGCCTGAAAGCAAATGAAAACAAAAATAATAAATTTTCTTATACTATTATAAATAAATTCAGGCGTCAAGAGCTTTTGTTCGTATTTGCTGAGCTGAAGGAACATTTGTGTGAAACGTGCTTAGAGAAGGCAAGTTAACGTCCTTCACTTTGTGCAAATTCCTTTGTAGTAATTTTCTTTTCTTTTTATTATGCCGCCAGCTCTACATAAACTGAGCAGCTATGTTTACTTTCCAAACACGTGGACCTAAGTTTGGTCAGGCTCTGTTGATTTTCCTGATCTGTGCTTCAGACCATAGACCACCATTGAGACCACCTCAGTCCATGCTGGGCCTGATCCTGTCTGTCTGAAAAAGGGTCTTTTTGTTGGGCCAACGTGGAACCCCCCATGAAGTCTTTGGTCGGCTTCACTGTACGAACTCTTGCTTACCCCCTTGGATGTACCAGGAGCTTGTCGTTCTCTGCTGCTCTGTAGCATTCAGATAAATACTTCTGGAGAGCAGGTGCCAGTGTGTGAGCTGCTCAAGGAGGGACAGATCTGTTTAAACCATGTATATGTTTATGTAAATCATTTGGTAACCTTGGTACCGTGATTTCCCCTGACCAATCAGACAGTCTGAAGCAGCTAAAGCAACACAGGAGCTCCTGTAAACCAGCTACATGGTGATTTTCTGTTATTTTACTGGAACCCCTGCTCTGCTGCAAGCTGTTGATTGTCGGACTGATTGCCTTCAGCTGGTGAGTGCTAAAGTGACTTGCTTCCATTTTGAAAGTGTTTCAGAGCCCCGAGAAGGAGAAGTGAACACTTTAAGTGCTCGACAGGGAAACTGCCAACATGTGATTCAGTGTCTCGGCTGGAAATGTGCTGGAAAATAACTGCATTTACTTAAGTACTGTACTTAAGTACAATTTTGAGGTAGTCTACTTGAATATTTCCTTTTTATGCTACTTTCTGCTTCTACTCCACCACAGCTCAGAGAGAAATATTTTACTTTTGCTTGACTATATTTCTTTGACAGTCATAGTCAGAAGTTACTTTACAGATTTAGATTATTAAAATCAACTTATAGATGATGATGCCTGATTATAGAATCAGCAACACAGCAGAATGTAAAGTCATTGGCTCCAGTAATCCAGTAATACATTTGATGCTTATACTTTTACTTCATGTAAAGTTTGAAATGCAGGACCTTGTACTTGTAAGACAGTATTGCTATACTGGCGTCACTACTTACACTCAGGTTAAAGATCTGAGTACAGATGGGCATATGGAAACGCTCAGAGCTCACTGTAAACAAGTTTCTGACTTTTCTGTGAAATAAAAGCAATTTGCAGTTACTGAGTTAGATAAATAACGCGTCAAAGCAAAAATCCAAAGCAAGATATTTACAGAAACCACAGCAGGAGGAGGAAGAACTGCAGGAAACAATGCTAACGTTAGCTTAATGAAGCTAAATGAATGTAACTGTTGAATAAGCTGGCATGACATTGATGTATTTTAACCACTGATTGAATTTTTAACGTACAGGTTAGACAGTGGGTTGCGTCTGTTGCTTTTGTAGCTAAAAGGGTAAATGTTTGCATTTTGTATTGTTTTATGTTTGTCCTGTTAGACTTGCTGTCCTGCTCCCTTTCTTGGACGGGGCGCCCTTGAAAAAGAGATTTTATCTCAATGGGTTTCTTTCCCCTGGTTAAATAAAGGTTAAATAAAATAAAACAGGAGAGGGAACCTCTGATCTGACAACCATCAACACTCACGCAACAACACGTGCGAGCTGAAATTCACCACCAGCGTGTCACCGTCCGACCTGTTCTCATTCCTAGCTCATCGTATGTGGACGCTTGGTCAAGATCCTTGGCGTCGCTTTTTGACGAGAACGGGCTCCACTGTCAAAGGCCCACTCTGTGTTTCACTGAGCTGCTGAAACAGGAAGTAAAATCAGGACATGTCATCTGTTCTTTTTCGACAGTTGCCCCCAAGGTATTTTCCCGAATATAACTTCCCTCCTGGGGATCGCTGCCAGACTTTAAAAGACATCTCGCAGCGTGGAGAGACGACTCGTCCAGACTACTTGATTTTACTGTCACTTTGACATGAGCTGACAGATTCATTGGATTACAATGAACTCATCTTCAACTCCAAGTCGCCTGCACTTCCTGATGTAAGCTGGCAGCGTCCCCCCAACACGGCGGCCTAAGATGAAATGCTACTTTAATGGCCGCTGGGGCCGCTGAACGACAAAAACAACGGTGGGCATTAATAATGAAAATGATGCAGCCTCTGTATGGGATTAATATCCTGCCTTGATTCAAAACTGAAAATAAAGTTCTGAAAGGTTGAAAGTAAGTGTTTGAAAACTCAAAATCTTACAAAAAAAAGTTTTGCAAGATCGAAAACTAAGATTTGCAAGCTTGCAAAATGTAAAAAATTTTGAGTTTTCCTTCTTCAGAACAATTTTTTAGAGTTTAAAATTTGTCAGTGTTCTCCCAGCGTTTTAGTTTGTTTTCCAGGTTTGAAACTTTGTAAATGGTGATCTGAAAACTGGTGTGCAAATGTGTGAAAAAACGTTTTGAAACTCTGAAAATTGAGGTTCAAAAGGGCGAAACTTTATTACATTACATTTGCACTCCTATTGCAGACTATTTTTTCAGAACTGAGTTTACAACACCCACTTTGCGGAGATACGCCTACACATTTGTGAGCTTGCGACTCACGTGATTTGTGGCAGCGTCGTCACGCAGCTCTGCTCTAAAACTCAGACTGAGTGAAAATGAAGCCTCGCAACTTAAAAAAAAAAGGCCTGCAGGCAGGGCCTTCTGTTCTTGGCCAATGCGTGGCTTTCTTCTGAAGTACAGTCCAATCACAAGTCATATTGACTGGATAGAGGGATTGACAGACTGCTCTGCCAATGACAGACGAGGACAGGATACGTGTTCAGGAAGCTCGGCTCCCTGGACGGGCTGGCTGTCTCCGTCCAAGCGGTGCATGGATGTGGAAAAGAAATCTGCAACGGGTAGTAGCTCAGGGCGGTTTGTTCATCAGCGCGATGTCACCCGTGGTGGTGTGTCGGTTACTTTCAACCTTTCAGAACTTTATTTTCAGTTTTGAAACAAGGCAGGATATTAATCCCATACCTCTGGAGATGTTTGTGTGTTGGCTTCAGAGTGACGCTGATGGTCTGAGCTTGGTTTTCCTTTGGCTTTGCTGTTGCGGTCTGTGCAGTCTCAGTTTGCATATTACAGCCTTTGCTTGTGTTCATGATCTGGTTCATGAACCTTAAAAAGGTTCTCTTGTTGTTTCAGGTCTAGGATGCCAAGATGATCACAGAAAAACAAACAAAAAAAAAGAAATGTAGGCCCATCCATGATCCATACTGACGTCTCCAGATCCAAACCTGTTTTCTTCTCCTCATTTATTAGCTGAGGGAAAGAAACCCTAAATGACAGTTTCCACTCTGCTCTGTGTGATGATTCTTCTTCTTTGAGTAAGGAGCAGTGGAACAAGTTCAATGTGAAAGTCATCACACTACAGTCTGTTTTGTTCTGTCTGAGCTGAAACTGATTATTAATCTGATTTCTGAACTGAAGTTAATTGTATTATCCGACACTGACTGTCCACAGCTGCGTGAGCTGAGCTGCACTTCTTGAATATACATAATTGTCATAGAAGAATTCACATCGATTTTCGTAATTATGTAAACTTTGTGTTGACAGAAGGACAGAGGAGGAAGTCCAGTGAGAGCTCAGCACTCGTACAGATCGGTGCATGGCGATGGACGTTAACACCAAAAACATGTGATGTTTAAATAATGGAAACATTAAAGTAGATTTTATTTTGTGCTGCTATCAGAAAAGGCTCATGAGTTTGTCATTTCGCAGGAACAAACACTGACCTGTACTGGTCCTGTGATTTACGGCTCACTTGTAGTTCTGATGTCCAGATTTATTGAACACATTATTGTGGAAAAGTGAAACGTGGATTCTGACTTAAAGCAGGTCTGCGTGTGGCAGCTGTCTGAGTTTGTTGTCTCGTGCTGGACAACAAACCCGCCCGCTGTCTTTTGTCAAACCCCATCAATCAGCGGCTGCCTAACAGAGCATCGACCCAGATCTGCTGCCCCAACGGGTCCTTCTGCGTCTCCGTCCTTCAGCAAGACATCAATCTCAATCAACTCCACCGGATCACTGGGAATGTCCCCACAGGGGGAGGCAGGGGAGACGGGGGGGAGAGCAACAAAGAGAGCCAATAGAGTTGAACATATGTGAGGAGCAAAGAGAAGAAAGGGAAAGACACACATGAGGAACAACAGGCTTAAAACTAAATGTACTCACCAGAGAAAGTGGACAGCCGACTCCTGATAAGCTTTTTCAACGCTGTTGGTTAAATGTACACAGAGCAGCGGGTACGAGTCGCCTCTATCCTGATTGACAGGTTGTCAATCAGCTTGTAGCCCCGCCCTAAAGCCTCCCCTGCTTCCTGGTCTCCTGTTCCTCTAAACAGGATAATTTACTAAATGAACATCATGCTGTGTTGAAGAAGACTTGAAACTTGCGACTGAGACCATAACAAACTATGTAACAACACTCATAACATGATTGAAGGATCGGTCTCTCTGTTTGTTTGTTTTATTTTAATTGAACAGCTGTTACTGATACGATGGATCTGCAATTAGCTCATATTAGCTGATTGATCAGTCGGGCTCTAATATGTGCAGTATAAACACACAATTCTGCACAATTATAAAAATGTGCAGAATAAGTTTGGACAAAACACACACACGGATCAGTGGTTACACAATAAGGAACACAACGAGCAGTTTTTGTGTTTAAAGTGCTCAAATATAATATTTTAAAATTTCAAAACTTTGTGTAACTCTATTATTAATACAGTGCTATGAAATATAAATGTACAATAAAATGAACTATATTTGTTATAGTGTATATTCCATAATAATCAATAGTATAATAATGAAGTAACATCTATTCTCTTATATAGTGATTACTCGTATATTATGATATTAGTGTTTGTACAGTGGGTGGGGGGGTCTCCAGCTGCTGAGCTGCATTAAAGAAGTAACTAACTTTGAATCACTTTGGATAACTTAGAAGTGAAGGACTGTTCCTTCGTCCTGGGTGCACCAACAGGCAGGAAGGCAAAAAGTTGTAGAGGTTGGTAAAGCCTGCAAGGATCAACTGTTTCTGTCGCTCACATACCGATAAATAACAAAGGGCCAGTTTCTGCCCTGCTGAGTAAGGGGAAAAACAAAGAAATAAGGACATGCAGGGAGAAACACTGCATCATTTACACTGCAGGTGAGCTCTGGTTGTTAATGTAGGATGTTTAATAATTAATTTATTTGTTCATTCACAAAGTTTCACTCCTGAACTATTAATTAAAACCTGTTGTGAGCTCCTGGAGGAACACTTCAGGAGTAACTCACAGCTCCTTTGTTCACAGCACTGAAGTAAAACTAATACAAGAGATTATTAACAAGCTGTGAAGGTGAAAAGGAAAATATAAAGAAACAGAATACAGTCGCTGGGAGAAGACTTTACCTGACTTCTTTCTGCTGACTCTTGGCTTGAGAAGAGTTTTAAGAACTGCAGGAGGCAACAAAGGAAGAAATCTCTATGAAATATTTACTGAATGTGTCCGTGCTTTGAGTTCAGAAGGAAATATGTCTCAAGGAAGAAAAACAACAGCTTAGTTACTGTAAATACCAATATTTAGTCCAAAATGGTGAACTGAGGTGGTGGAAAAAACTCAGGAGGGAAAGAGGTAAATATTTGGAAGAGAGTTTGTCGAGTGTGGAGAGCCATTTTATTGCTCGGGGCATTTTATATTTTGCTTCATCATATGCCAACTGCCTCAAGAAAAAACAAGACAAACCAAACTCCATCCAGAGCAGAAACATTCCTGCAGGCTGTGCTGCTGTAATCCTGTCTGTGCTGCTATTTGTGCTGCGGTCTGTGCTGCTGCTTGCGATGCAGTCTGTGAGGCAGTCTGTGCAGCTGTCTGTGAGGCAGTCTGTGCGGCTGTGCTGCAGTCTATGCTGCAGTCTGTGCTGCTGTGATGCAGTCTGTGCTGCAGTCTGTGCTGCTGTGATGCAGTCTGTGCTGCAGTCTGTGCTGCTGTGATGCAGTCTGTGCTGCTGTTTGTGCTCCTGTGATGCTGTCTGTGCTGCTGTCTGTGCTGCAGTCTGTGCTGCTGTGATGCTGTCTGTGCTGCTGTCTGTGCTGCTGTAAAGCAGTCTGTGCTGCGGTCTGTGCTGCTGCTTGCGATGCAGTCTGTGAGGCAGTCTGTGCTGCTGTGATGCTGTCTGTGCTGCTGTCTGTGCTGCTGTGATGCTGTCTGTGCTGCTGTAAAGCAGTCTGTGCTGCGGTCTGTGCTGCTGCTTGCGATGCAGTCTGTGAGGCAGTCTGTGCTGCTGTGATGCTGTCTGTGCTGCTGTCTGTGCTGCTGTGATGCTGTCTGTGCTGCTGTAAAGCAGTCTGTGCTGCGGTCTGTGCTGCTGCTTGCGATGCAGTCTGTGAGGCAGTCTGTGATGCAGTCTGTGCTGCAGTCTGTGCTGCAGTCTGTGCTGCTGTGCTGCAGTCTGTGCTGCTGTGCTGCTGTCTGTGCTCCTGTCTGTGCTGCTGTCTGTGCTGCTGTGCTGCTGTCTGTGCTGCTGTGCTGCTGTCTGTGCTGCTGTGATGCTGTCTGTGATGCTGTCTGTGCTGCTGTGATGCTGTCTGTGATGCTGTCTGTGCTGCTGTGCTGCTGTCTGTGCTGCTGTGATGCTGTCTGTGCTGCTGTCTGTGATGCTGTCTGTGATGCTGTCTGTGCTGCTGTGATGCTGTCTGTGCTGCTGTAAAGCAGTCTGTGCTGCTGTCTGTGCTGCTGTAAAGCAGTCTGTGCTGCTGTCTTTGCTGCTGTAAAGCAGTCTGTGCTGCGGTCTGTGCTGCTGTTTGTGCTCCTGTGCTGCTGTCTGTGCTGCTGTCTGTGCTGCTGTAAAGCAGTCTGTGCCGCTGTCTGTGCTGCTGTTAAGCAGTCTGTGATGCAGTCTGTGCTGTCTGTGATGCAGTCTGTGCTGCTGTAAAGCAGTCTGTGATGCAGTCTGTGCTCCTGTGATGCAGTCTGTGCGGCTGTGATGCAGTCTGTGCGGCTGTGATGCTGTCTGTGCGGCTGTCTGTGCTGCGGTCTGTGCTGCTGCTTGCGATGCAGTCTGTGAGGCAGTCTGTGCTGCTGTGCTGCAGTCTGTGCTGCTGTGATGCAGTCTATGCTGCTGTTTGTGCTCCTGTGATGCAGTCTGTGCTGCAGTCTGTGCTGCTATGCTGCTGTTTGTGCTCCTGTAATGCAGTCTGTGCTGCTGTCTGTGCTGCTGTCTGTGCTGCTGTGCTGCTGTATGTGCTGCTGTGATGCTGTGATGCTGTCTGTGATGCTGTCTGTGATGCTGTCTGTGATGCTGTTTGTGATGCTGTCTGTGATGCTGTCTGTGCTGCTGTAAAGCAGTCTGTGCTGCTGTCTTTGCTGCTGTAAAGCAGTCTGTGCTGCTGTCTTTGCTGCTGTAAAGCAGTCTGTGCTGCGGTCTGTGCTGCTGTTTGTGCTCCTGTGCTGCTGTCAGTGCTGCTGTCTGTGCTGCTGTCTGTGCTGCTGTCTGTGCTGCTGTAAAGCAGTCTGTGCCGCTGTCTGTGCTGCTGTTAAGCAGTCTGTGCTGCGGTCTGTGCTGTCTGTGATGCAGTCTGTGCTGTCTGTGATGCAGTCTGTGCTGCTGTGATGCAGTCTGTGCTGCTGTCTGTGCTGCTGTGATGCAGTCTCTGCTGCTGTCTGTGCTCCTGTGATGCAGTCTGTGCTCCTGTGATGCAGTCTGTGCGGCTGTGATGCTGTCTGTGCGCCGTGCGGCTGTCTGTGCTGCTACTTGTGCTGCGGTCTGTGCTGCTGCTTGCGATGCAGTCTGTGAGGCAGTCTGTGCTGTCTGTGATGCAGTCTGTGCTGCTGTGATGCAGTCTGTGCTGCTGTAAAGCAGTCTGTGCTGCTGCCTGTGCTGATGCCTGTGCTGCTGTAATGCAATTTGTGCTGCTGTCTGTGCTGCTGTGATCCAGTCTGTGCTGCTGTAATGCAATATGTGTTGCTGTCTGTGCTGCAGTGATGCAGTCTGTGCTGCTACTTGTGCTGTGGTCTGTGCTGCTGCTTGTGCTGCTGCTTGCAATGCAGTCTGTGAGGCAGTCTGTGCTGCTGTCTGTGCTCCTGTGATGCAGTCTGTGCGCCGTGCGGCAGTCTGTGAGGCAGTCTGTGCTGCTGCCTGTGCTGCTGTAATGCAATTTGTGCTGCTGTCTGTGCTGCTGTGATGCAGTCTGTGCTGCTATAATGCAATCTGTGCTGCTGTCTGTGCTGCTGTGATGCAGTCTGTGCTGCTGTCTGTGCTGCTGTGCTGCAGTCTGTGCTGCAGTCTGTGCTGCTGTCTGTGCTGCAGTCTGTGCTGCAGTCTGTGCTGCAGTCTGTGCACTACTCCAGTTACTCTGCGATTCTAATCCTTCTGCTTTACTAAGCTGGTTTTCTACGTTACGCTACTAGTTGGATTCACTTTCTCACACTCTGCAACTTTTTCTCTATGTGCTCTGGCTACGCTATGGGATCTGCTAAATCAGTGGCTTTTTCCAGCTGCTATACTACCCTGCAGAGTGGTCGACAGGCTACTTCCAAACCTTGGCTTTGACGATCTGACGAT